CTCAGCAACTTGGGTTTTCCGCCTTGAGAGATCTGTGTCTTTGTGAAGGGGATTCCTTGATGCCATTTCTGCTTTTGATTGTGTGTGGTGTGGTTCTTGGGCTTGGCTGTGTCTGCACGAATTGCTAGCTCTGGAAGTACCTGGGAGAGCAAGAGGAAAAGCCCAGGATGCTTTTGAAAGTCACTGCCCATGCTTCTCTCTTCATGCCTGATGGCCATGCAGCCTTCCCCTCTCTCCCTGACCACTCCCATATTCCATCCTCGACTTCCACTACCAGTTCGGAGGGCTCTGGGGCCTGGCGGTCTAGATTAGGTCTGGCCACACACACTGCGGTCTTCTGCCTGGTTGTCACATCTGCATTTTCATTGCCTTTCCTGCTTCACCTATGTTTTCTCCCCATTCATTACCCACCCACCTGCAGCATCTGGGCATGCTCCTCCCATGATGAAAAAAACAGAAAATTCCTTAAAGCCCTACCTTCCCCTTACCAGACATGATGATGCTTACCTCTCAGCTTCTTTGTTTTATGCTCACTCACTGCACACGAGGTCACCGGTTCTCAAATGTGGCTGCATTTGGGATCATGGATGGTGGCATCCCAATCCCAGAGGTTCCTGATTTCATTAACCTGGGGTACAATGGGAGCATGAGAATTTCTCTAAGTCCCCAGATCATTTTAATGTGCAGCCAGGTCGAAGAACCTCTGCTTAGGTTTGTGAACTACTCTCTGTGGCCCAACCTGTGTGGGTTCTCTCAGGTCTGCTTGCGCCGGGGCTGCTCCCTCTGCCTGGGTGTTCTTTCCTGACTACTGCTTTTGGCTACCTATCCACAACTTACTCATAAAAGGAGGCTACTCAAGAGTCAGTGTTCCCTAAGAGGCAGGGCGGGCCAAAGGAAGGTTTGAGGGAGATTCCACACTTCGAGGGCCAGTAAATCATCATTTGTAAGAATCTGAGAGGAAGGGTGTTACCTGGAGAAGGGAAAGTAAGGCCCTCTCCCATGGAAAATGGGCTTTGTCTTATAATTCTGGTTGGCTGTGATTCTAGATCGAGTTCTCTAACACAAAGGAAGATTGGAAATGAGGTGCTCTGAGGAGCCTGAGGCCATTCCCTTAGTGAGCCTCTGTGTCCTTTATAAGTTCTTGGCATGGCTTGCTTGCTTACTTCAACATTTACCTACATCTATGTATTATAGAGGGGGGTGGGTTCTCATACTGCTAGGTCTGATTGCTTTATAGGGCAGAGGCAAGGGGGGAATGGAAGAGGTATTAAGACATTTTCAAAAACTGTACCCATCGCGATGATCCCTCTCCAAAGATGGGAATAAAAATGGACTTTGATCACTTCTTTCTATTTATGGAGCTAAAGGAGAGAGTTAGATGATCAGTAAAAGCATCAGTATGGGGCTGGGGATGTGGCTCGCGCGGTAGCGCACTTGCCTGGCATGTCTGTGGCCCGGGTTCGATCCTCAGCACCACATACAAACAAAGATGTTGTGTCCGCTGAAAACTAAAAAATAAATAGTAAAAAAAAGCATCAGTATGACACTTATCATTTCCTTCAATTCTCTGATTGTATATATACATTTTAAAATTTATTTCGTAGTTGTAGATGGACAGCATGCCTTTATTTTATTTGTTTATTTTTGTGTGGTGCTGAGGATCGAACCCAGTGCCTCACACCTACTAGGCAAGCACTGTGTTACTGAGCTACAGCCCCAGCCCCTCTGATTGTATATGATACTCTTCTTTTTCTGCAAGCATCTTGACATTTTCATCTTCTGATTCATAAAGAACTTACAGATGTTACCTTAGAGGACTCTAAAGGGCATATACACAAAAACCTAAGTTCATACAAGTAAAGGAGAAGTTTAGCTCAGCCCTACTCCCAACCCTGTATTGTACACCGTTATGTGCAATCCCCAGTACTTACAATACAGGTTGCAATTCAAATTGCTGTGACTTGCAGATGCCATGAGTAATTTAAAGAGCACAAAGTCTGGATTCATTGAAGTCCCAACTCCATTGTTTAGTAGTGAGTGACCCTGAGCACATTCCTAACCTCTTTGTACTCTAGTTTCCTCATCGTAGAAATAGATATGAGGTTAGTGGGAGATTTAACTGAGTGACTCCTAGTGAAGCACTTACCTGGAGCTTAGTAAACACTTATTAAATATTAACTTACAAAAAAAGTGCTTAGGATATATATATATATTTTTTTTTTCTGGCAGAGTCTTCATCTTCATGCTAGTACTTCTGTTTTCTTTAAAGAGATTAGACTAATTGGTTCCCATAAATAAGATGCACGAGAAAGAAAGGACCCCTGCCCAAGTCCAAATTTCTGTATCCCAATGTGCTTGACCAACATGACGCTCATGACATGTGTTTTAGGTCTAGGAGTGACAACAGAAGCCAGTGGCTATAGGCCACTGAGCTGGTTTAGTGGCAGAACTGTGATTAGCTTCCTGCCTACCATGTTTCCCCAAGGTCAAGTCGTGCATTTTGTCCACGAGTTGTGCTTTGGGCACAACTTCCCTGTTTTTATCAAAGTAGGTTCTAATTTATACCAGGTCACCCTTTATTATCCTATAGTGCCTGGAATTAGATGGATATCAGAAATCTCTGGCATTTTTTCCCCCTTTGGTACCTGGGATTGAATGCAGGGGTAGCTTAACCACCGAGCCACCTCCCCAGCCCATTTTAATTTTTTTATTTTGAGACAGGGTCTCATTAAGTTGTTTAGGACTTTGCTAAGTTGCTGAGGCTGACTTTGAATTTGTGATCCTCCTACTTCAGCCTCCTTAGTTGCTGGGATTACAGGTATGCCTCATTGCCCCTGGCTCTATCCTTTTTTAAAAGCCAACTTTATAACAAAAATTCAATTTAACTTTTTCTTAAGAGTATTTGGTATTTCTCATCTTAACAAGTATCTAACTGTAGGGCTTGGGTATAACTTGCAGGTAAAGATGATAACAATGAATACATGGTATAAGGATAACAACCCATTAATTAGAAATGAGAGTATTGCATAGTTATTTCAAATGAATGGACTTGCAAGTTTACACAAATTTACCAAACAGGCATTCAAGATTTTTACTTGAGAAGAGAAGCTTAAAGTATGGTGGATAGTGATATCCCTTTGTTGTTTATTGAGAGGGGAAAATCCCTTGTAATTTAGTTGATGCTAAGAAAACAGCATGATCAGATATGGATAACATCTAAAACATCTTCATAAAAAAGGAAGGAATTCATCGAGAGAGGGAATTGAGTAACTTTAAGATATTTGGGATTAATACTGTATATACCAGTATGTTCCTTGCTCTCAAGTTTTTTTTTTTTTCTTCTTTAACTCACAGCAGGCAATGTTGGATGATGACCAGGCATATTGCCACACTGGGTCACTGATTCATCTCTGGGTTTTGAACACATTGTCAGACCAGGCTAGGTTGTAATGCTCTTCATTTTTGTTGAAGCACATCATCACACTGCAGCTTCCCAGCATGGGAACTCTTTGGGTCTGACCATCATATATAATCAAACCACCTGCCAGGCGAACAGGGCTCACAGCAATCACAAGAAACAGTGATCACAATGAACTAATCAGGCACACTCAGTCTGAATTTCAGCAAAGAGTGATGACATTGCTGAGATGGACATAGTTCATCTGTCCCTGATTAGGGAATTGCTTTGTTGTAACACCACCTGTAGAGCCAGGACAATGCTTAATAAAGCTGAGACTTGCAGCCTTCAACTGGATAGAACCTAACCAGATAAGCTTTGAGAAGATGCTTAACCCGATTCCCTCAGTACCTGCCAGGAAGTCACTGTAAGATTAGAAAATGTAATTACATCCGATAAAGTGATTGCCAAGACATTGTTTGAAGAGAGGGTTTAATTAGTCCTATTGTGTGAAGATTGCTGGAGACCTGGATCTCAGGGGCCCCCGCTGGTCTCTCACTTCCCACAGAATGAATCTGATTGTATTATATTAGAATGTTTAGAAAGCAGCTCAAAAAAAAAAAAGTTCCAGCACTTTGCAATATATTCCATTCAGTGTAAACTAGCTTCCCTTTAACATGAAGCCCTTCCAACAGGGTTCTGGGCTCATTTAGGGATTCATAGGCTACAGGTTCTCCAGTGCCCCTCCATTTGCTTCTATCCATAGCACCTGCCTTGCTGATCACTGACTTCATGATATTAAAATTCTCTTTCTCCGACTCTCTCGTCTGCTAGACTGAAAGACAGGCAGTCATTTATTTTGTATTCCCAGAGCCTAGCACAGAGTTTACCTTTTAAGACTCACTTCTCTCATGTTTGCTGACCTGAGCTAATAAACCTGTTCAGAGAAACCTTGAGTTTTCCTGCTGGTCAATATTGGAAAGTCAGGTGAGGTAGATCAGAGGGATCCATGAGATCCCAGGAAGATGGGTTGACTATTAACTAAAACCCTGGAGGGGAGGAAGATGAAAGTGGGAGCAAATGCAGTGGAGAGGAGCCCTATTGTTGAAGGATATGGTTTACTCCCTGTTTGAACAGGAAGAGATTACCTTATCCAAACTCTTTATTTCACAAATGATAAAACAGAGCTTGGATTGGGGTCACATGGAAAAATTATGACTTCATATTTTTCTGATATATATATATATGTATATATATATATGTATGTATGTATGTATGTCATGGGGAATGTGACATTTGTCATGTGACATTTGGTCATGAATGTCAGAAATAGCATACACATTTCTACTCTTTTACCATCAGTTAGAAATGAGAATAAGACTTTAATGAATCAGGAGGTTGATTATAGATCTAAAGATTTACTGAATCTTAATTCTAATGAATCTTTAAAATCAACCACATAGCTGAATGCATAAAAAAGCAGGTACTTGGCTTTAAGATATTTTTTTTGATGGATAAATAAACACATTTATTTGAAGCCAGTTGTGTAGACTAGCTATACTTTTTAAGTTCTACTTAAGCCACTGAAATATTTGGATATCATAAAAATATGGACTGCTTCATGAATCTGTGTGTCATCCCTGGGCAGGGACCATGCTAATCTCTGCTTTGGTTCCAATTTTAGTATATGGAATGCCAAAGAAAGCACTGGCTTTAAGAAGATGTAACACAATTTAGAAGATGTCACCTTAGCCTTATTCCTCCCAAATTAGGTTTGATGGAATGGTCTCAACAGGAGAAGTGTTTATTGTGGGATTTTGCCCAATAGATACTTCACCTCCCTTAACCCTATTTCCACCTTTTACCCCAGAGCTTAGATTTAATGGGCTCCTTGCTGGGCCTAAGCTCTCTCACCTGACACTTCCACCCGCAGTGAGGAAAGAAAGAAATGCAGAGGCTATGAATATGGAAAGCCCATCCCAGCTAGTCCTTGTAAAAAGGTGGTGAGGGGTGTTCAGAAGAAGTACACCTGTTACCATTGGTCCTGCAAGGCCTATGCCGGGGGCACAAGCTCAAGTACCATCCTTCCCTGAGTATTTGTAAACACAAAATCCAGATGACTTACTTTTATAAAGCACTTTTCACCTACATCACTTCTCCTGGTTCCTTAACAATATCCCAGGGAGATAGCACAGTCGTTGGCCTCTTTTGCAGATGGAGGAAGAAGATAAACAACAGAAGTTGGAGTAGCCTTCCAGAGGTTCCCCCATGAAACACAGGAGTCAGGGCAGGAATGCTATTCTTCCAGTTGCACCTCATGGGCTCCCCAACCAGGCAAAGCCGTGCATTGTAGACTCTGCAACTCTTCCTTCTCAAAGGAGCCAGTCTAAGACCCAAGACCCCCATCGTGTCTGGCAGGCATTCTTTTCATGGGACATTAGCACCAAGGTCAATCCGTATCAAGATCCTATGACCCAGAGAGGAAGGAAAAGGTAAAGATCACAGAACCTATGGGTAACCCCAACATTCCGCTTTCTTGGAAACAGCTGGCTTTTCATTTCCCTGCTGCTCCGTAGAAACCATCAACAAACAACCTGAAACCTCCAATAGAGAACTCACTTGCTCCATCTAGGGAGAGAGTACTGTGTGAAGTAGGTGATTTCTAAGCAAATTTCCATCATCCAGATGCCTCTTTATTCACCATTTCCAGTTGGCTGGTTGTCTAATCCTTGCACAAATGGTGGCAACACAGAGATGCCTTATGACCCAGATATCCATGTGCACCTAGAACACCTGGTGGCACTCAGTTATTGTTTTGGTTGTTTTAGTCCAGGGATTTAAAAATGCCCACTCCAAGCTAGGGAAGACAAATCAGTCTCTTGCAATTGAAGTTGATCTTTAAATTCCCTTTAACATGAAATTATCTAACCATCCACCCATCTGCACAAAACCCTTAAGAGACTCTTCCATCTGTGTGGAGTATCCTCATATTTCCAATTTGGCTTTGCAGATACTCAGATTCAGAGATTGTTCTTTTCTGGGTCATCTCTCCAGAAATGAGTGCTATGGTTTTCATGCTTAATAAAAATCAAAGTAAGGACAGGAGATTTTTAGTGTCCCCAAACCAGATCAAGGAGTCTATAAAACCATCCTTACTTACATGACCAGCAGGGTGGCAGCCCAGACAGTGACAGGAGGACCCTCTTCAGGGAACAGTCCTGGAGACTGAAAATGAGGAGAGAGACCTGAGAAACTAGGATTTGACCAACTCGTCCTTGCATCTGCCACAATGGGACATTGTTAGGTCTGGTTCCATGAAACAATGGACTTCGATAGGACATAATACCCATTCAGAGAGACAGCTTTACATCTCAGCTCCTCAAGTACCCTGAGCTCCTTCTTAATTTGCTGACTGCACACAGTGTGTATATTACAGATTATTCGGCCTCAATCTCTTCCTGTTCTCCCTCCCCCATGTGTTTATGTACGCTCTTCTTTTCCAGTAAGTGCAGGGTGGTTTTGACTTCTAGAAAGGCTGGGAGATATATCAATTTAGCCTCTGCTGCTAAATTCCCCAGCATAGCTTTTCCAGACCATGTTAAATGAGATGAGTGCATCCATGTATGGACCCTCAGGGCAGGTCAGTTTCAATGTGTTTATAGCCCAATAGTGTTTATTCTCCAAGTATGTGGTAAGACCCTGGAGTACAACTGTGCTCATAGAAAGGCTTGCTGTAGCATCAACCTGAACATAATAATATCCAATGACATTGCAAGATGGTCTATTCTGGAGCTATTTTATAGGATCATATGAGAACTCTATTGGAAAACAAATAAATGTTACAAAAAAGTAGAATATAAATAGTTTATTCCATGACAGAAACTAGGAGATACCATGTGTGCACGTGGACAAAGACTTCAAGGTAGTAACTAAAGATAAGAATAGCTGTACATAATAAGGAGAATTATGTTGCTTTAAAATCTTTTAACATTTTAAGTCATTTTCTCAAGAAAAACATTCCACTGGGGGCATGGTGGTACATACCTGTAATCCCAGCCACTCAGGAGGCTCTGAGGCAGGAGGAGCAAAAGTTTGAGGCCAGCATGGGCCACTTAGTGAGACCTTGTCTCAAAACAAACAAGCATCCATGAATGGACCCAAACAGAATGGGAGGCTGTGGAAGTAGCTCCGAGGTAGAGTGCTAGCCTCCCATGCCCTGTATCTAATCCCCAGGACCCGGTGGGGAGGGAAGTGTGGAGGACAGGGAGGTGGAGGAAAGAAAAAACAAAACAAAACACCATTCTGATGATAAAAGGCCAATTTTTATAGGAATGACCATTTGTCCCGTGGTTCTAGGTTATAGTTTGTTGCATGAAGATACTTTTCCTCACTATTGCAAATAATATTTGCTTTGGGGATATTCCCAGTGGTGGCCAGAACTAGGGGTTACTCCCTGAGCTTGAGGTAGTCACCAAGAATGTGACTGGAATGTGTAGTGAGGGGCCCTGGGTCTGGGATCACCTTTCCTTCTGGCTGTGACGTTGTAAGGGGAAAGAAGAAAAACAAAACTGAAGTTCTTACAAGTATGATCTCTAACCCATGACTGTTATATATTCATTTTAGGGAAGGGAATTCAAATAACAACTAAAATGCCAAGGTCACTCAGTGCATAAATAGACAGGACTTTGAGTCCTATCTGTAGAAGGCCATATTCTTCCTGCTACACCACCATGCTGCCTAAAATGTGTTTCCTAAGAGCCCATTTTCTATTTCTCAAATGGAATGTAAATTCATTAGATCAGAGAGGATTCTGAACTGCAGGAAGGGCATCTCAACATGGGTGACGGTTACATGTAGTAAAATCCCATTTATTCTTTGCAATTTAGTTATCCCCATTTCATCATGGAAACCAAGCACAGACAAGCTAGCAATTTTTACTGGGTTATAGAGTTTGTAAATGGCAGAGCCAAAATGTGACTATCTGGCCCCAGAATACAAAAGGTAGAAGTACCTATAAGATACATTTTCTGCATTTCTTGGATCTAAGGCAAATCAAAGGATACGAGAATAACCAAGAAATATAAAAAAAAAACATAATAAATAAATAAAATAAATTAGTAAGTAAGTAAATAAATGAAAAGACTTCCTTAGACTTTTTAGCTCTGGTTCCCTGAAGGTGTTAAAAAGTGGATCCTCCAAGGAAGTGCCTAGGGTTATCAGGAGATAAACTAATTGTGGCTTTCCTTCTGAGTTAAGCTTAGCTACTCCAGCTCTCCCAGGGACAGGCTAGAAGTGCAAGGTTGGCCCTCCCCCATCTCCTCCCTGGGAAAAATGATTTCCCCTATTTCCACCCTCAGGTAGATTTTACTACTTTAACGTAGAATGCTTTGTTTTACCTTTAAATGAAAAGAACTGGACCTGTAAGGTGCAGGCATTCAAGCCCTTTGCCTGCAATCACAGTGAAAATACATCCTATTTATAACCCAGTATAGACACAGGTACACACCTGGAAACAAAGTCATCCAAAGTGGATAATTTATTCTTTTCTCCTTCAATGCTTTTTTTTTTTAAATGAAGACAATTTGAATAACAAATCTTTAAGTTAATTGCAAAAAGTCTATTTAGGAACTTTAACTTTGGGTTCTTATAGACAAGTTTTAGAACTGTGCCCTCACACTGGTGTCTCTAGAATTATCTTTCTCCACTTTGATATCTATTGGCTATTTATCTAGGTGGTTAAGATGAGTTCAAATAGGGGGGTGTTCTACCATGGCTTAACATATTTGTCATCAGGACTGACAGCTGTTCAGGGCTGGCCAAGAACCACTGTGGAGTATATGGCTCTTTTCTCTCACCATCAAATGCTCAATGAATAACAACTGGCCTTTGAGCTTTCTATGTATAGGGTGCAAATATCCTGGTAGAATTCTTAGCTATTGGAAGGTTCAAATCCTGTGCTCAGGGAAATGGGGAAACAAAGAGACTTTGTGAGAACATAAGCCCAGATTTCTTAGGAGATAAGATGTTTTCTCTTTTGCCTTCTGCAAAGAAGGAGGATGGGAATATTCTCCCAGGATGATATCAGTTAGTGCTCATACATCTTACAACCGTATGGGTGTCTCTGATTTGCCTCAACATTAGAGAGAACATGTTTGCAAAGGAAGTGTTCTTTCATTATAGTGATATGTAAAGTATTTGTTAGATAATGAGTTGATTTGTTAATTATGCAGTGAAAAGACTACAAATAGTACAGGTTAGCAATGTGAAAGACGTTGCTGCCCAAATTATAAGCATAAAAAAGGGAGTGCTGGAGAATTTTGGAGCTGGAAGTTCTAAAGTTCTGGTTCCAACCTTCATATGAAGTCGAAGTTCAGAGTATAACCTCCCTGAGGTCTTCTTGTGGAAGAGCCACAGAGCCTTTCATGATTCTAGTTATCTTCTTTCTCTCTTCCTTCATTCTTTTCTTTTGTGGAGCTGGGTGCTGAACCCAGGGCCTTGTACATGCTAAGCAAGTGCTCTACCGCTGAGCCACACCCTAGTTCCAGGTCTAACTATCTTTGAGAAGGAAGGAAAGAAGAGCTGTATAATTTGGGTAGAAGGCATGTCCCTCTGGAGCATCAAGGCATCTGCAAAATACAAAACACTACCTTCTACCTTCCAGGCAGAATCAATCACCTTGACATCTGTACCACCTCTGGGCAGAATA